CCAGGTGTCGCGGGCGCGCTCCTCGTGCCCAATGGCGGCGATGGCCGAGAGCTGGATTGAGGTCGATCCAAAGTGAGGACCTCCCCCATGCCGCTCGGTGAATTCCACCATAAGCGAGTCGTGCGAGTGGAGGGAGATACGGCTGACGGGTTCCCGGGTGGCTTCTGCAGCTGCAGACCATTCTGGGTACCCTGCGTTCACCATGTCCGCGCGCCCGGCGTCGAGGAACATATATCGGATGTTGGGCAGAGGCCTATCGGTAGCGCGTTGGGTGGGGCGAGTCTCTTCGCCCTCTTCAGTGCTGGTAGCCTCGATACGGAGCGAGTAGTGCTGTCGCACCCGCATAGCTCCGCTCCGCATCTCGACTTCGCCCTCGCCCTCGCCGAGTATGTCGTCTATCTCGGGGGCCTCATTCGGGTCTTCCTCGTCCGCACCATGGTCTGCGGGGAAGTCATCGAGGTCGTCGTCCGCATCATACTGCGAGCCCTCGTAGTTGGCGTATACGCCTTCGACTTCTTCGGGGTCTTCGTATTCTGCAGGCTCGGTCAAGTATTCGAGTTCTTCCGGCTCTTCATCGCCGTCCTCTTGTCCTGACGCATAGCTGGTCACTACCCGCTGCGCGTGTAGGTGGGCTACCGGTCGAGGGCGGTGAGATGCGGATTCGTTATACTTGGGGCAAACGGGATCGCTGGCTATGTGACCAACAATCCCGCAACCGAAACACGTCTTGGACGACTTCAGAGTGGGCCCAATTACTGGGCCTGCTCGTGCGGTCGTATACGGTGCGCGGGGAGAAGCGGAGGTAACAGGCCGAGACGTGAGAGCGGGAGCTTGGGTAGTTGATGCCCGAACAGGGCCACGTGCTGTCCCACTCCTCGTTCTCGCCGTCTGCCCACTCGTGCGGGCTGGTGTCGCTCCTGGGGCGGCGACCGTCGTCGCACCTCCACGCATCGGTGCCTTCCCTTCAATTGTAGTGCGCGCGTGGTTCTTGAGCGTCGTCATCGCGGTGTACTCGGGGAATAAACCGTGCTTGATCAGTTCATTGTGGACGTCGGTGGGTATCAACCGCATGAAGTGTTGGCGCATGGAGAACTCCGAGGGGGGTTCGCGCATGTCGCCCGCCGTCCGGCGCAGTTCACTGACAAGGAGTTTGACCCCTCAGGCGGGATCAAACTGCACGGCATCGTATTCCTTGGAGGCACGGATTGCCGTGGACGATGTGACAAATCGTTGGTACATTGCCCGCACGATTGCGTCGAACTCCCGCGGGATGTCGCTTTCCCGGTTGGTAGGGTCGACTTCAGAGCGGAACCACCTCAGGGAATCGATGCCCAGAGCTTGCTTGAGGTACAGCAAACGGTGCGTGTCGTACTTCGGCCCGCCCATGGAGTACCCTTCAAGGTAAGTGCAGAGAGCACCGAGCCAGTTCATGAACAACGCATTGTCATCTTCGCCATTGTAAAGAGGAGGGTCCTTCATTTTTGGGACTCGGGGCGCGGCTTCCAAAGCTACGCCCAGCTGGCGCTGGATCAGCTGGGTGATCTGAGTGGCCTTTTCCAGCATGTGGATCTCGAATGCGGTGGCGGGCGTGTCCGGCGTCGGGCTAGAGGTGATATACCCCGAGGGCGATTGATTATAGCCCAGCGGGGTAGTATTCACGCCGATTCGTGGTCCCGTCCCATCGAATCTCGCCCCAGCGCTGGATATGCTGCTGTTGTCGACAAACCGCGTGGTCTTCAGTATGGAGACGGGCGGCACGGTGTCCGTAGGGCCGTCCTGGGGCCCTGACTGTTGGAACGACTGTGCCGCCCTTGACCTGCGCGCAAAGTTGGAGTTGCCTCGACGGTGCCAGTCTTCGTCTGACTCATGCGCTTGCCGGGGGGACAACGTGCGGTCCACTTCCGCCTGCACGTTGCCCATGTCCTTGGGCATATGTGGGGGAAGGTCGCGAACGGGGGGCATGGCAATTGCCTGAATAGGATGTGCACGCCGACTGTTCACCGAGGCGACAAGTTGGGCGAGGGATTCTTCCGTCGTCCCAGTCGCACGGAGGATGCGGATGTTGTTGTCGAGGGTAGATGCAATCCTTGCTCCTGAGTTCATCACTGAGTCGCTGAGTTCCTCAATCCTATTGGCCATCTCATCGCGCAGGGCTCTTACTGAGCCCGCCAGGCCGGCTATCGTGAGATCCTGTCCTGCGACTAGCGCGGTGGTGGTGAGCAGAGAGTCTCTGCCCAGGGACAGCATGGCACGAATGGTGTTGAAGCGGCGGAGCTGATCGTCCGTCAGTTCCGCCGTCCTCACGTCGGTGATGAGTGCAGCTAGCAAACTCTCAGAAGTGAGCGGGGGGTCTGTGCTCGTCGTCACATCCGATTCCTCGGACGGGGTACTATTTAACGTTGTCCCGGAGGGTCGTGGAGAGCCCTGTTGACTTGATGTCGGGCCCCTGATGTGAGGCAAGACAGTCTCGTCATCCGAGACATCGTAGTGTTGACCCGTCGCCGGGTCGAGCATGTACGGTACCCCTGCGGCGTCTATATGTACTTTGACCCTAGGTACTGGCCGCGGGTTTTCGTGGAGACCTCCCCCATTCTCGTCACCGGGCTGCGAAGCCGCGGAGGCGAACTGGGACGTCCCCGTTGTCGATGTCGGCACTGCAGAGGCAGGGCCATCGTTTGACATTTTCTTGGAAAATTTGTTGTAGTAGTCTTTTCTCGGAATATAAGGCTTCGTAAGAAGCCAGGTGTTCAAAAAGTATAAGGGTGTTGGTTTGGTTGTAACTTAATCACACCCGTGCGAACAGGAACCGGTCTATATTCAATAGAGAGTTCGGGCGTTCAGCGCTGGGTGTAAGTTTGTTCCCCGACACTGGACGCCCGATTGATAACTACAACAAATACATATGTACAACTGTAAGATAAAGCATGACTTAGGCCCGGGTTCGGGCCGATGAGTCATACCTTCTTACAGCGCATCACTTCGGCCGGATCTTGCCTTACCCTTTGCTTTCACTCTGTTCTCATGTGCACCGAGCTCTGGCTCGTTGCCCCCCGCTCATTTCCCATTCAACCGGACAGTAGACATTGAGTCTGGTGAACAAACCGATACGTCCGTCAACAGCTCGCTATGGAAGAACCGTTGACTTATCCCTCCAGAAGGGATGGGAACGAGACTACCATCGGCCTCACCCATATATTTTCACTACAGGCAGACATATAAGACACCCTGTTAGGGTGGTTATGGGCCAATGGTATAACTACCCTAACTGGGCCCCAGGAAGGGGGAGACTTCCACCTTGGGAGCCTCCACTGGGTGGTAGATGAGACACATATTGGAAGCCTTTTCTCCTCCCAGTCTGGGAGCTCCCACCCCCTGGCGGCCCCAGCGGGGCCGCCGGCAAAAATCGATTTTCAGGGCGTTCTAGGGATCGTTTTTGCTGGCTCCGTGCTGCAGCAGCACCATCATAGGTCCATCATGGGTGCCGCGCATAGCGCGGCCGGAAAAAATTAGCATTTGGAGCTGTTTTTGCGCCGCCAAAAAGCTGGTCCACCGCCTGGCTGCCGGTGAAAATGGATTGTTGGGGCGGTCCACAAATCGATTCTGCTGGATCCATGCTGGAGCCGCAGCTTTACACATCCATCATGGGTGCCGCGCGTAGCGCGGCCGGAAAAAATGTGCATTTGGGGCTGTTTTTGCAGCCGCCAAAAAGCTGGTCCACCGCCTGGCTGCCGGTGAAAATGGATTGTTGGGGCGGTCCACAAATCGATTCTGCTGGATCCATGCTGGAGCCGCAGCTTTACACAGTCCATCATGGGTGCCGCGCATAGCACGGCCGGCTCCAAAAACACCCCTAAAAGCTGCTTTACCCTGCAATTGCCCCCAAAAAAACAGCTCGTTTGCCCATATTTTGCATCCTACCCCAGTACCAGTATTACTACTATCCCTACCACCTCTCATTGGTTCTATTGCCGCGCACAGCACACCAAGAGTCTGATGATATTTCAGCATGGTTCTGTTTGCTCTATTTTTTCTTCTTCACCGTATGCTTACTGCCGACACACATACCACTCTGTGATGTGATTGTGGACCTGCCGAGAAAAAATCTCACAATTTGGCCCTTACGAATGAACCTCTGTCCATTGTCTGTCATTGGAAGAACAAATTTTCCATGTGAAATCTTCTATCACATCCTCATGCTCTTATATTTATCTGCTGCATTACACCTTCCCAGCCAGCCAGTCAAAACCTGCTTTCCACAAGCCTCCAATATCATTCCGGCACTCCCGCACACTTCCAATCAGTATTGGAAGGCTCCCATTGTCACTCTCCCAGCGCCTTCCAGGCCCTTTCTTGCCCGATTCCATGTCCTCGCCATCATTTACAGGAGCTCCCACACACCTTAATGGGGGCTCCCATGCCTTTCATAGTCAGCCGCGGGAGCTCCCACAACCTTCAATGGGGGCTCCCATGGTCGGCTCTGGAAGCCTATGATGCACATAATCTATTAAACGTACCTGATACAGAGGCTCCCAGTGCAACATTGGGAGCCTCCCACTTGGCTGTTTTCAATGTCCGGCAGCCTCCATACCAAGTGGTGGGAGGCCCCAGCTCAGTAGTGGGAGCCTCCCGGAGTAGGTGGTGGGAGCCTCCCACCCGCCAGATAAAAGGCAAGTGCCGTCGAATTGGCACACAAAATGACCCTGGGAGTGACTCTGGGAGGTGCTGGGAGCTCCCACACCATTTACTGGGAGCCTCCACGTTGAGGCAGAACATCTACCTCAGCAGTTTTTATCTTTCCTTTTTAGACTACTAGATGCCCTTTTTAGACTGCTACTCCTCGCAGCCCGATTAGGAATTTTATTATCTTATCTTATCTCTTCGAACCTAGCTACAGAAGGCAAAGCTATGTTCATGATATAAGTCCTGATTCCCTAGTACCTATGACTCAACTTGCAAGCAAAGGCGACCTTCAGCAAAAAAAAAAAGAGTCGTACTCTGTATGAATGCGGCGGGATTCGAACCCACGTCATCTGCTGACTTATTGTGCAATACACAAGCCGGCGGCATAGTGTACTGCACATCAAGGCAGAGCGGAGGTGTTACCACTACACCACGCAGCCGATACAAGGTCTCACCCTCAGTCCCTCTAACCTCACAATCTGTTCAGAGCTCTAGGGGGAAAAAAAGGACCTTTAAGCTGCATTGAAGCAATTAAAGCCATGACTGAGGTGGGATTTGAACCCACAACCGCACTAATAAACAATTCAGAACAGGAACCAATGATTAGCGACGATGTTACCATTACACCACTCAGTCCATGCAAGCGTTAAACGGCGAACATTTCACATTCGGCAGACATGTAGTACTTCAAAAGAAAAGAAAAAATAAGTCATGTCTCAATGATGTGTAGCTCTAGGATACAGGTCATAATCCTGAACGATTGTAACTATATGATACATAAGGACACTCTTTATTTAAACAAGGCCAAAAAGTTCACGGTATTGTCCTAGGTCTGATATTAAGGTTAGCAAAGCGAGGCATAGGTAAAGTGTACAACGTACGGGGGATTCGGAACCACGACTCTACGTGTTCACCGGCGAATTCATCCTGTTCTAAGAACATTGTCACTAACGGCAAAAAAATACAAGGGAAATGACGACGTACAGAACGTAGGCTGAGGGTGGCACGTACACGTAGCCCGATGCGCCAAAAGCACGAAGGCAAAAGGAGCTGGAACGACATTCAGTGGGAAAGAAGAGCAAAGGAGATAAAAGGATACACATACCACGCTCAGTCCGGCGGCGGCGAGTCTCCGCGCATTCCCGAACAGCTGGGTGGACCGACGCAGGCGATCTTCCCTTCTTTGTACGGCGCCGCCCGTAACGCCGATCAAACGGTGAGGGAGCAAGGTTGGGCAAGGTCTTCAGAGAGCGTCGCGCAAAAGGCATAGTGAATAATAATTTCCAGCCAGTTGACTTGCGGCGCACCTTTATACCCACTCAAAAGCATCCGCAGTGTGGCCGCGACTCTCTAACAATGGCCCCCCATTGTCCTTCGTTTCTGGTAAGTACAGAAGTTTTGTCGTTTAATTCCCTTTCTCCTCCGCGGTGACCGGAAGAGGGTCATCCTCGTTCCCTCGGCGCGTATAGGTCCGTGATGCGCGGCAAGGGCGGTTTCGTAGGGCGTTGGCGGCGAGTGCGGCGAGTGGCGGGCATCGGAGTGTTAAGTTGAGTGTCAAGTTGAGTAGCGGGTTATGCCACCCGCCCCCCATTATATACCTAATCTGGACGCAAAGCGTGAGTGGTGGCCACATACTCCAGATTCGGACTCACCCGCATGTCGTTTAATTCCCTATCCAGGACGCATTGTTTTCGCACTCTTGGTAAGCTCTCCGTAGAGAGCCGCAAGCCCGGGGGTCCACGACAAGGAGGTGCGCAGGGTTGCGAACCCTTCCCCCGAGAAACTATCTACTTTCATGTACAAGTATACTACACTCGGTTTCACATCCGTGCACATATGTACCAAAAAAAAACTTTCAAGTCCATATCGTATCAAAATTCCAGGCATAGACATGTACTGTACACAGAGTATATGAAGTGCTCGCTGTGAAGCAATCTAATGAGTGTAACTATAGAACGTCGCGGCGACATCATCCGAAGCGGGCGCTGGGCGGCGCCGGGGGTAATCGGCCGGGATTTTCGGTGCGTAGACCCGGGCAGGGCGCACATAGGGGTGCGGCAGTCGGGCGGCAGGAGGCGAAGGAGGCGGGGAAGGAGGCGGGGAAGGCAGGGGCAAGCGGAAGTCGGCGACGCGAGTGTTCCTCAGCTCGGTAAGCAAATCCATGGTCAGCGAGTACCGCTCGGCGTGTTTGGTCCACCCTTCCACACACTTCTCCACACGGTCACCGTACCTCTCCAATCGCTTTGAGATCTCGTCGTAATATTCCTCGCGATTCATCGAACGCAAGTAACTCAGAACACTAGCAGGCGCAGGGATCATGGCAGGGACTGCACGACAAAACGAGCCATGAGAACAAGGAAGAAGATAAAAACAACGCATCGCACCGTTGTGTAGGTCGCAGCCCGTCGGGACGTCCGCGCACGCCATTGATCCTGGCGGGCATGCGCACTAAGCGATGCGTCAGTCAAGGTAATCCACCTGCGGGCTAACAGACGTACTTTGGGCTTAACAGCCAGCGGTCCCTCAAGGTCCTTTACGTCCAGGCGGCTGTTCGCCCAAGCGAACTGCCAGCAGGCTTTGCAGTGGGCGGACACTCCAGCCAGATCGTCGCCATCCACACTGTACTCGCCGCAACCCCACGCCGGGATGCGCAGCCCACAATGCAGGCACGGCGTGCCCACGGCGGGGCCGCCACAGTGCTTCGAATCGAGTTCAGCCTTCGTGTACAAGATGACCGCTCTAGGTTTCTTGGGGTCCACCGCGTTGATGTCGAAGCGCGGCTGAGCCAGGAAGTCGGCCCAGATGGTGTTCATCCGCCCAACAGTGGTTCCCTCCAAGGGAAGGGGTTTGGTAGTGCGAGAGCGTTGTGCGGGCATGGTAAAAAGCGGGGTAGGGTGGGCGTTTCATGCTGTCAAGTCGTTCAGCTTAAATACCGTAAATGCGAAGCCGTGCCACCCACCAATTCCCATTATCAGCCGAAAACGGTAACCGCAGCGCCCACTCGTGGCCTTCAACGCGGCCACGTCTGTCGCTCATTGTGTTCAAATGGACCTAGATTCTCCGGCGTTTATTGCACCTCTCTTCCCGCACAAATTACATACGTACCTTGCAATCTTGCCCTTTCCGTGAACTGCCTAACATTTTTGTATTCGATTTCAGCTATTCGATAGTGTGGAACGATCGTATGTGGTACAATCTAACGACGCGCATAGAACATGGGTGGCATAAAACATAAAACATGGGTGGCATAGTACATACATACGAAGTCAGGACCAGCGATCAGCAACGCAACGAGATTCAAAAGAGCTGCAGTTTTTTCACCCAATCATCATACGTTTTTCTGTCTTCTGGTCGCGGCTCGAATCGCCCCTTGTTCATCGCCTGCCACTTCCCCAGTGGCACGTTCCAGGTAAAAGTCCTTGTGTCTGCTTTCGTCCGCATATCGTCGGGACCAGCACGCACGTAGCCCATGATATCGGGGCTCTTCGCCAAATCCGTGCCCACGCGAGCCTGGACCTGGACCTGCGCGTCGTCTTCCTCTTTGTACTGCTGTACAAGAGCCTGCAAGCGACGCTTTTCCGAGGCGGAGGGGGGGGCGGAGGGAGATTCAGCGCTGTGGCTAGTTTTCTTTGGCGGCTTCCGCATCGGAGGGCCGACGTCCACGGGCGCATATTGCGGATGATAGTCGCGGGCGGGGATTCGGGGTGCGTACTCTGGCTGCAAAGGAGGATAGCCAGCGCCGTGGTACTCGTACTCGCGCGCATACGGAGCCGCCCGCCCGTAGCCAGGCTCGTGATACCCGTTGCTGTCGTACCCGTAGTGGGGACGCGGTCTCCCGAGCTGTGCAGCCGTGCCAAGCCGACGGTCTTGTCCGTATTCGTAGTCGTTGTAGCCACCCCTGTATCTAAGATCGTCATCGTAAGAGCGTCCTTGCTGCTCATCGTCGTACCCGCCGTAGCGACCAGGCGGCAGGTTCGACGGTCCAGCTCGGCCTCGTTCTGGATAAGCCGCGTCATAAGGCGCCGTGCGCGAACCAGGGCGCCCGAAGGGAGCCTGGCGATCGGGAGGGAACGAAGGAGGGAACGAAGGTGGCAGGGCAGCGAAGGGCCGCGCTCGGGCGGCGAACGGGGGTGGCGAGTACGTGTGGCGGGAAGGAGGCGGCTCGTGTCGAGGACGCTTGGGAGAAGGCTGAATTGGGGAGGAAGGGGCGGTGTCTTTGGCACTAGGTGTACTAAATCCGTCCGACGATCGATCCCGTTTTGCTCCACGCTTGACCACCGACGACGACCGCGGTCGTTCCTTGATTTTAGGAGGCTTTGCAGTGCCCTTGGCCCCGCGTCCTCGCCCAGTCTTTCCGCACTTCACCACAAACTTCTTTGAATCGGAGACCTTGACGAGCGCTTGACCGTCGATCGCCTTCACCAAGACGACGTCGCCTTGTTCCTCCAGAGGCAGAAGCTTTTCAGCTGTAGTAACACAGTCAGAATCCAGAAGTCGCCGGCGCGGAGTTCAAGACATACCTTCAGTCCACTCAACGACGCGGAGCGCCTTTGCCGCATCCACTTTATCGTCGTCTTCGTACTTCGCATTCCCCCGCGCCTTTTCCATGGCGGGGATGATTGCCTTCAGGTCGCTGTTTCCAAAAGAAGTTTGCTGGAACGACTGCTTCGGATACCGTCCGTCTGCCGCCATCGCAGTCGGCCAGTTCTCGATGCGCAGCTGCTTCTGAAAAGCGTGGTCGGACCAAGTCCAGCTCATCTGGTACTTGACCGCCCCCTCTTCCATGGCGTCGAGGTCCCCACGCTCGATTTCGATCTTGACTGCGAAATTGGTCAGAGTCAGAACATTGCGAAGAAGGGACCCGATTTACCTTGGTCCTCCACGAGACAATCCTTGATGAACGCACGCCCTTTATCGCGATTCCAGGTATCGCTCACCCAGTGCGATGGGGGAGATGGACCCTCCTCCCCATCCGCCAAGCTGCCGTCTTTTTCCAACTGCGCCTGGATGATGCTGCGAGGATGAGACAGTGTATGGGCGGGTTATAGAACGAACGAAGCAAAACGTACCCAAGCTTGTGCTCGTAGGTCTTGATGAGCTTTTTTTGGTCGAGCCCACCCTGAAGCTTGAGCGTCGTCGTCGCCTCCGATCCGCCGAAGCTGCGGCTCTCCCCACCGACTGGGTCGACGATGTAACCAAAGGCATGAACTCCCAGCTCGTCGTATGCCAGGGTGCACTGCGAAACGATCTGATCAGCGGCTGCATGCATACAGTGCAACTTGTGAACGTACCATCTTCGTTAACATGCCCGCAACCTTGTTGACGTCGCCGGCGAACGCGCCGCTGTCGATCCTATAGTCGATCACGGCCGAGCGGTTATCTGCCACCCACTTCTTGAGGTGTGGCAGTGCGTCGAGCACTTGCTCCGTCGTCGGCTTGC